GGTGTTAAACAGAGAATCATCTTTGCTTTAATATGGGGCAAACAAATGTTCTGTTAGTTAATGTGGTTTAAATAGAAGTACAGTGGGACCCTGCAGTATCACAGAAAGACTCAGCCTGCGCTCGCAGCAACGCACAGCAGTCTCTCATCAGGAGGAGAGAGTTTAGTCACACAGAATTGGAAAGATCTGTTCGACAACGACGCTCTGAACATATATTTAATATAAAGTTAGGTTTTACAGACCAAAGTCCAAGTAGCTCAGGAGCAAAGTGCAGGAGGAGATGTCAAGCCGGGTTCTCACCACCAAACGCGTTTTGAGCAGCCAGTTTTACATGCAAAGTCTAACCGCAGCAGCCGCTGCTTCAACCAAACTTGCTCTCACTGAAAGTCTCGCCCTGCTCTGCTCTGATTGGATAAAACGGCTCTGGACTTCATCTGATTTGTTGAAGGCAGTGTCCATTTAATCCTTATGTCAGGGTCCCGCTGTCGGCTTGGTGAGCACCGAACAATCATCCAGTCACACCAGTGCGGTTGGATTTTTTTTTATARTCAAGTCGCATTTGCGACCAAACTGGTCTCACTCTAGAGCCCTGCTAGCTGTTGTTTTAAACGACAATCTCAGGTACAATCTTAGGTACGCAAGTGAGCTTTAGGACATTCCATCTGCTTTTCCTTTTTTTGATCGCGCATGCGCACCTGCGCACTGCTAATGTGCAACTCTGTTTATAAAGATGGAGTTATAGCCAGTTGTGTGTTTGCTAGGGTCGATTAGCTGCGGCAGCCATGTTGACTCATGCTAACGCTAAAAGTATTCAGCTGTTGAGGTACAGCCAATCATCACTTTCTGAGTTTCATTAAAATCAGTCCAACAGTCCCTAAGGTATTTTGCTAACAGACAAACTAACACAAACAGAAAGCTCACATCTAACCAGGAGGTGCTGAACTGAACACCCACCAGAGCATTTTGCTTCTGAAGGACCTTCATCAACTCCAAGCGGAAGTTTTCATCCACTTCTTGATCTTCTTTATCGTCGTCCTCTTCCATCGCTTCATCCTCATCTGACTCGTCTGACTCGTCCTCCTGACACGGAAGATAAAATAAAATCAATGTTTGCTCTAAAGCAGGGGTGTCCATTCCCGGTCCTGCATGTTTTACTTAATTCAGTTCTGCAGAAGCCTGTTAATCACTCTGGACCAGGATTGGACTCACTTTAAAAAAATCAAAACAGACACAAATAATTGGAGAAAAAAAATTATAAGTGACCTCCATCTCCTCATCCTGGTCTTCATCGTCGTCATGCTTCTGCTCCTTCTTTGCCCTTTTACCTGCGTCATCAGTGACAACTATAGCCGCGTCCTCCTCGTTCTCCTGATCAGGGTCTAAGACCTAGGCAGAACCCGAAACAGTACAAATACTCACAACGGTACCATCAACTACAACCAGGACTACAGAAACTTCGATCAGGATCAGGGTCWCCATCGGCTGCAGGTAAAAAGTCTATTTGGTTTGTCGTACTCAACACGATTCTCTGGTGCCCTCTAGTGGCAAAAACACAGATTGCAACAAAATGAAGTCCTTGTTAAAAGGATTTATTGTGTCCACGGAATGACAAAACTGCCTAAAAAGGACGAAAATTAATATAGAAAAATGTTCAAACTGTCTTCATACTGCGTCCTCTTTACAGTTTCTTCTATCTGGGACTTTACACGTCTAAACCCCACCTGGACTGATCGGCGCAGTTTAAACTGACTTACGTCTAAGATGGCGGTGAGGGCGGCGGCATTGACGTGGGGGCAGATGGAGGAGAAGACTGCCTTGCAGACCTGTCTGATGTGCCGACTCTGCTGGGACAGGAGGGACAACAAGATGTCCACCATCACCTCCACCCACTCCGGCTCCCCCTCCTGCTGCTCCGAGGCTGCGGCCACACATTCAGGGACAGAAAGAATTACAAACTAAAAAACGTTTATTTTATGTTTTTTTAAAGGTTTACAGACACATTTTAAAGGTCTTAACCAGATTAATATTAGTTTGTAATGACACAAGGAGAAATCAGCATCTTTGTGTTTGAAGCCCCACCTTGTATTTTCTTCTTCTTCTGGGCTTGTTTCTCCTGGGCTTTGTCCAGACAGCTCTGCAGGTCTCTCATGATGTCCAGCAGCTCGTCAGGGGCCTTCAGTTTCCACAGAAAAGGCAGCGAGAACAGTGAGTACTGAGTTGCTATTAATAACAAAAGTAGAACTCCAGCTAAATGCTAAAACAAGCAAAACGCTAACTAAAAGCTAAGAACAATAAAAGAATAACTGCAAGCTAAATGTAACAAAACATAGCTATTGCTTTAGGAAGTAAAATGATAGCTGAAACCTTAAAAGTAATAAAAGACTATCTAAAAGCTAAAAACATCACAGACGCAAGATAAAAGTAGCTAAAGTAGCAACGTGGAACAGTAAGTTACTAAAAGTAACAAAATATTAGCGAAAAGTATCAAAATGCTGGCTAAAAACAGAAAAAACGTAGCTTGAAACTACAAGTAGCAAAATAGTGGCTAAAAGCTAGAAGTAGCAGAATACTTCCTAAGACTTAAAAGTAACAAAACATTAACTGAAAGCTAGAAAAAGAAAAATGCTAGCTAATGCTAAAAGTAGCGAAAAGTGCAAATGGCTAATTAAAACTAGATACATTTCTACCTACGAGCTAAAAGTAATGGAAAGTTTGATAAAACCTAGAAGAAACAAAATGCTAGCTAAAATTAAAGGCTGAAAGTTTCAGTCCGAATGTTTAATATCATCACTGTGTTATCAGGATCAACCAGTAAATGCCTTGAAAAAAAAAACATGCAGAAAAAGATCGTATGTTCTGGTTGGACAGCTGGTTTTTACCTTAAATAAATGCATCCCGACCAGCAGGAAGAGCTGCTGGAACGCGCCGCTCTCGTCTGTCGCACCTTTCTTTGCTTTTTTCTTCAGGTTTGCCACCGACTCCAGCATGCTGAAAGAGAAAACAACTTCCACATAAATTCTATGACCTGAAGAAAGAAAATCTAAATCTTCCGGAATAAAATCTAAAAATTATATTTTAGTTAAAAGTGCAGAGGCCGTCCTACCTGTCCCAAGCCTGTCTCTGCTCGGGGCTCCACGGATGGACGCTCTGGACGTGTTTTGGATGGTTTAGCAGGAGCTGTGCGTACTGGACCAGGTGGTAGATCCACATGGTGCCATCAGCCGTGACGCCCAGGATTCGCTTCTGATTGACAGCGGCGCCGTCGTCGCTGAGCGGCATGTGGTGCATGGACATGAGGAGTCTGAGCAGAGGACAGAAAGGAGACTTCATCAAGCTGAAGTTCTCAGTTTAATTAGAACTAAAGCACGCTTGCTTTTATTGAAAAAGAAAGTAATTGAGATTTAATCTCACCCAAAGAAAGAATTGACGAGAACGCCTCTCATTTTCTCGTCCAGAGGGATGGACAGTTTTAAATTTGTCTCTGCGATGTCTGAAGAGGCCTTCTTGGTGCTGAAAAAAGCGTGGAAAAAGACAAACCTGGAGAAAAAAAGAAACACAGACTGAGTTTTCTCTTTAGAAACACTTCAGCGTTTATCACCCAGAAGCTGGTCTCACCTGGCCACATCCATGACCAGATCCTCCTTCTTCTTCACCTGAAGGTTGTCGATGATGGAGGCGAGTCGAGTGACAATCCACTTCCTCAGGCGGAAAACTGGACTCTCCTTCCTGAGGGGAGAACCAGAGTGTTTGTAGGATTTTTACATCCAGTTAGCGTCATAAAAAGGTTCATAAACTCACGGCTTCTCCTCAGGATACTTGTCCTTCTGCTTGCGGGAGCTGAAGTCCAGCAGCTGGTCCACCTGCGGCTGCAGAAACATGTTTTTGAGCCAGTCCACGTAGCTCTGCAGGGCTGCAGGCTGAAGGTGCTGCACCACCTTCCACACCGAAGGCACCACCGGGTAACCATGGTGGCTCAGGGAGGAGAAGCCCACCATGACCGCCAGCTGTTTGTCAGAGTCCTGACAGGTCTGCAGGAAGTCCGACACATAGGTGTCCATCTCTGGCGCCAGCTTAAAGCGATCCGGTTTCTGAAAGGAGGAGGAATAACGGTCCAAATCATCAGCTGATCGTGTCTCAAAGGACCTGTCAGACAAACCAGGTCAGGAGGAAAACTGGAGAAACCRAACAAAAATGCAGCGTGAATGATAGCTGAAAGCTAGAAAGTACCAGCAGGCTAGCAGAAAGAAAAATGAATGCTTAATAGTAACTAAAGGCTAGCTAGAAGTTTAAAGTGGGAAATGCTAGTTAAAGGCTAGAAGTACCAAAAGCGTAGTTAAAAAGTAGCAGAACCTGAATAGATGAAAGAAGCAAAACGATAGATGAAAACTAAAAGTAGCGAACTGATTGTTAGAAGCTACAAGTACCAAAATGGTAGCCTGGCCCTTCCCTTCCTATGCAGTTCTGCTCAATTCTAGTTTCCCTTCACTGCTTCGTCTGGGATTTCTCCCATAGACAAGGACTTCTTCGGGATGATTTTCGTCTGGGCCAATCAGAGAACAGAAGGTGGAGTTTTGAACGATGATGTCGATGTTCTGCGCAGTGTCTGCTAGTTATTTTAGCATACAGCAGTGGAGGAAGTGAATGAAGCCAGTCTGTGTTGATAAGGCTTCAAAATTACATTAAATTTGTCTGACAAAGCAGCAGCTCTCATTTACAGTCATCTCGTTCAGCTTAGTATATTTCTCCTCTCAGTAGGGTTGTTTGCAGTGTTTCCCAAAGTTGGGGTCGGGACCCAAAGTGGGTTCTCGAAACAGCAAGGTGGGGTCTTGAAAAGATTTTCTGAGTTAATTACATTTTTGCCTTATTTGTTACAAAGTGTTATAAGTAGTATAAAAATATTGTTACTATGCCCATGTTTAGTTGACCTGATACAAATGTTTATCATCCAAAAATAGCTGGGGGCTCAGGTCTCTGCTACTGTTATTTTGTGGGTCAAAAGCAGAAAAGTTTGGGAACCACTGCACTTTGGTTCCCAAAGTTGGGCTTGGGACCCAATGATGGGTCATGAAGCACCTTGGATAATCTCCAGAAATCAATTTAAAGGGTAATAAAATAATTGCTGATGTAATATTTTCCCTATAATTATTACAAAAACACAAAAKAAGTACAAATAAGTATTTATATTTGTGTACAAGCTGTTTAGATTGTCAAAAAGCCTGTGTTTTTAGGGTTATTAACAAAGTTTGTGTACTCAGACCAGCAATATTTGGGGTTACAAGTTTTTGCCATGAATATTCTGAAGATAAAAAGTTTTGGAACCACTGGTTTACAGCACACGCAATTTCCGGTTAGCTTCTTAGCTTAGCCTCCTTCACAGTGGAGTTGGCACACATATGTCGCGGCCAACAGATCCAATCATTTTAAACTTCAGCAGAGGCCACGCCTCCAGCAAGAATCACTTCTCTACAGCAGAGAGTCCAGACCCTTGTATGAAGCAAAGTGAAGGACAGGGTCTGGTTTTTACCAGGTTACCAAAATGGTAGCTGAAACCTTAACCTTACCCTTAATCTTAAGGTAGCAAAAGGATAGCTAAAAACAGAAGAATGGTAGTTGAAAGCTTAAAGTAGCAACTTGTACCTCAAAGCAAAAATTAGTAAAATGCTAACTAACAAAGAAAGGTAGCAGAATGGAAGCTAAAAAAATAAAAGTAGCAATTTGTAAAATTTAAAACAGTAGCTAGCTAAAAGCTGGAAGCAACAAAACAGAAGATGCATCCCAAAGTAGTATTTCTTTTATAATTTACAAGCATCGACATGCTAGCTAAAGGATAGAAGTATTGAAAGGCTGTCTAAAAACAGCATAATGGTAGCTGGAAGCTAAAAGTAGCAAAAGGTTAGCTAAAAGAAAAAAGAAGCACAAAAAAGGAAAACAGTATAGATGCTAATGTTGGTGACGAGAGAAACGCCAAATCAATATATATACTGAATTGGTGCTGAGGAAGAGATAATCTGAATTTATCAGGAAATAAATGTTTTTGAAAACATTTTAAAAAGAAATCTGCTAAACCAAAAGAGTTTAACCATTTATAGCATCAACTATTTCAGTGTAATCATGAGGTTTCATGTTGATCCCAGTTATTAATGCTAACAGCAGAATACTGACCTGAGCTGAAACCACATGTTCACCATAATGCATCATCACCTCGCCTGATAAAACCTCCTTCAGCTGAGATACTGATAGCAGAGGCAGAGCGCTCCCCAGCAGACGGAAGCCCAGGTAGCTGCAGAGAGGCGGAGCAGGAAAACTTACAATTAAGATTTAATATAGTATTTTAAATGTTGATTAGCCTTGAACCATGAAAAATACAACATTTAATAGTAAGTAGAAAGTAAGCAGGTGAACATGATTACTTCAGAAAATGTTCATTAAAAGACTGTCACACGATCTGTTTTCCCTCCATGAAAAATAAACTCACTGAGTCGGTCCTGACTGCTCCTGGAACATCCCCTCTGTGATGGCTTTGTTCCAGAAGAGCTGGAAGCTGTCCTCCTTCAGAGAGAGCTTCAGGAGGTCCAGAGCTACAGCGGGCAGAGTCAGGTCCTTCTTCACGGAGCGAGCCGCCATCTTCATCACCTCGATTAACCTGACAAAACACCAGGAAGCAAAAGGCTAATTCAAAGGTAAAAATAACAAAAGTTAAGCTAAGGTTGCATRTTGATTTTTAAAAGCTAAAAGTAGACAAATACTACCTTAAAGTAACAAAACAGTAGCTAAAAGCTAGTGGACACAAAATGCTAGCCAAACCTTAAAAATAGCAAAATGTGTCCTTAAAGCTAAAATTAGCATAAGAGCACAAACAGAGCACTAAAGCAGAGTTTAGATTTGCGACTGGATAAATAAGCAAAAAATATACATATATATATAAAAAAGATAAACAGCTCAGCACTGTGTCTCAGGCTACAAGGAGATAAATAATAATAATAAAACCAATGGACATTAAAGCAGATGGAAAATTGTTATTGTCTGCCAGGCTCAAAACATTCTCTTCTGTTCCCAAATAAAAAGTAATAATTTAAGATATTATAATAATAAATAATAAATAGTAAATAATAAGATATCTCTAATTATATTCTGACTTGTATAAATAACTTTAGATTTATCATCATGTTGTTTGGAGACTCCAGTTCAAGATATCTTAAATGTATCTTTGGATATGAGATTCACTATATAAGATTCAATTAATGCAAATTTCAGACTTTTTTATGTTCTGTAAATTGTGTTTAAAACAAAGCAGCTGCTGTTGATCAGTCTGTTTTCATAAGCCCCGCCCCCAAGGCCAGTACTCTAAGGGAAACACTTTTTTGAAGATGTTCTTGATAAAACAACTGACTGTTAGTAACTCTGTTTAAAATGTTAGCATCTGTTTAATCAGATGTCATATATTATATACCTCTGTATAACATGTTAATATTTTGTAGTACAAAGTACAGTGCACATTTTTCTTTTTTTATCAAAATTTGAACATTTTTGTTTCGGGCAGGTAAGTTTTCATGTCGGGCAGGTAACATTTGTTGTCACCTGCCCGACAGGGCAGGTAAAAAAATAAAATCTTGTCAAACCCTGATCTGGAATATGGCTGCACTGGTTTTGGGGACTTGATTCTTCAGGTTCATTCTTCAGATATTCACACAAGTGCATACAACACTCATGGCTTCAGATACATGACCCCCTAAACTCACTTACTCCTCTGGCTAACAAATCTGCTCTATGCAGAGGTTTTTTTTTTATAAACATCATAGTGTGTCACATTGTTGATATAATATGATGTTTTGTTTTTCCTCATCTTCCCTTGTGTGGTTTTTAGTTTTTCTGTTAAGGGTTGCGCCTCCTCATGATGTCTTCATGAAGATGATCCTTGCTCTGTGCAGGTCTGTGGCTGCATGACCCAGAGCACCTGTTCTCCCATGTTTGTCATGTTCTGTCTTCTTCTGAATGCCATGGCATTGCCATGTAGCATGTCTTTGCC